AGTGTGTCCGGGAAGTTTTAGGGACTGCGCGTGGCTAAGGGGAAGCCTTAGGGTTTCCAGAGGACGATGTTCCTCCCTACCCCGGGGGGACAGACATGCAGCTAGGAGAGCTTTTATTCTGTCTACTGTGGATATTTATTTCCATCTCTTGTGTGGCCTGAAGAATCTGGGAGGAGAAAACGGCAGAAACCAAATTTGTGGCCCCAGGCTGGTGGGTTGCAGGTGTTTGCAGGGTCCTGAGGGAGTTTGAAGCCTTATTCTGGGGAGAGTCACCCACTCTCCCCACCCCACTGGAGCACCCGGATCAGCCAGGCACTCGTGTTGCCGGGTGGGTTTCGGTCTCATCCTCCTCTTGGAGCCCTTCGGTACTCTCACCCCCGACAGCCAGAGGCGGCACACTCAGAGATCCTTGGGGGCCTCTTGCCCGCTGCTGAGCCAAGGCCCCAGCCTTCAGCTGCCTGGGCTGTCCCCTCCCCTGGGGCAGGTGGACACACAAGGCCCTGCCCTCTGAGCCCAATGCTTCTTTAGATTTAATAACCAACTGTAAAGCAACAGGTCGGCAGCAGGATCGTTTCTCACAACCCTACGGGCTTGGGGCCCTGTGATGTCCGCAGGTCCCTTTAACTCTGCTTCTGTCACTATTCTGTACTAGAAGCAAGTAGTGTTTCCGTTTAGAATCCCATTTCACAGGATGGACAGTCTGCACAGTGGCAGTCCACCTCTGGGGGTGCGGACTTGAGCCTGTGGCTCAGTGACAAGCCAGGCACCCAGCTATGCAAGGCCCGCACCTGGTGGGCACCCCACCCTCCGGGTTGGGCCATTGGGAGCCACTGGGCAGGCAGCTGAAGTGTGGCTCACGTGAGAGCCCTCTCTTCCCTCATGCCTTTTGGGCCAATGTGAGTGGGGCCAGAAAACAGACTTTGAAACAACTGCATTCCCTTTTAGACCTAGTTCCTTCTGTTTTAGTGTAGGCATGGCCTTGGGGCCTGAGAGCCAGCAGCCGGGCTCTCCAGCGCTGGGGGCGGGGTAGGAAGCGCAGTAGTTGGTGGGTGGGGCGGGGGCGTGGACGGTGGTGGTAAGAATTGGCCTGGCTGGATGAGGTGACGGGGTGGGGTGGACGACGAGGAGGACAGGGGTCCCAGGAGGCGTCCGCAGTGCTGGGCGATGCCTTCCTGCCCTCAGTTTCTTTCCTCTCCCTGTGGGCCGGGAACGTCGGGGGCCAAGGGCAGGGCGGAGTAGCCCTGCACGGCCGGGGTCCGGCTCCGTGCTGCTCCCTCCGTGCACACCCCTCAGAGTACGACCTGACCTTCGGTGCCCCTCCTGGGCCCCAGCTGCTGCTGCCTGGCCGCGGAGCCATCGGCAGGAGGACCTAGCTTTAATAAAGAGTGGAGAAATGAGCTTTCTGACTGCATTCCGTGTTGTTGCCGCTCGGCTCCTCCGTGCCCTCAGGGAGGCTCTCTGTGAGGGCTCGGGCCTTGTTTTTGCAAAAAAGAAAAAGAAGAAAAAAGGGTTTTTTGTTTGTTCGTTTTTTTAAGGAGTTTCTCCTTTCAGAAACTAAAATTGGCCTCCGAGGAGTCAGCCCACGATGAGCTTTGGCCTGCTGCCTGTGTCCGCCACGTCCCTCTGGGAGTCCCCAGCCACACTGCCACATGCTCTTTGTAATACACCCATCCTGGAACCTTACTGTGTTTGGGATTGTTTGCTCCAGCTTTCCCGCGGTCAAAGGAGAGGGGCCAGGTCCCCTTCCTGGGGGTCCAGACACCTGCCGAGTCCCAGACATTTCCTCAGAGGCCCCAGCGCTTCGTGGGCTTATCCGGGCTTACCTGCTCTGTGCCGGGGAGAGCACATCCCAGGACCCCAAACACCTTCCTTTGAGCTGATTTACTGACTACCTGCTCACCACATGATGTCCCCCCAACCAGATCTGACCTCCCACCCTTTCCCCAAGCATTTGGAAAATACAAACTATGAAGTAAATTCTCTTTCAAATGTGATTTCGAAGCATCAGAACCGAGCCCAATATTTCAGTTAAAAAAAAAAAAAAAAGGCTTTGAGAGGCAAATGGAGGTTAAGACCTAGTTAAAAATTGATAGCCTTGAGGATCTGGAAGTCTATTCAGAAAAGGTAAATTCTTCCCTGATAGGGCTTACAGACGTCCAGCCAAATTCTTTTTTATTTGGGGGATGGGGGGGGGGTGGGCAATCCTGATGGTCATAGAAAAAAAAAGCCCTTCTGGTGTTGAGAGGACTTCTAAATTAATGGAGTCCCTAATCAATTCCCCAAGTATCAGTTTATCAGCTTCGATCATTGCCAAGGAGTGGAAGCCCCCGTGAGATGTGACCCATGAAAGGAGGTACTCTGAGAGTTTTGAGGCTCTGAGCATCCCTGTGGCCTCCACCCACCTTTGTCATTTTCCTGTTTGTCTACTGCTTGTATTTCCCCAACCTCCTTCCTGTCTCCTGACCCTCACACTTGATCTCTTCAGACACTTCCTTCTAACTTTTTTTCTTTCTCCAATTGGCTACATATGGAATAAAGTATTTTGAGATTTTTTTGGTTATATTTATTAAATAAAGCTTTATGATCCTTGTTCATTATTTATTTTTTTTCCTGATGATAAAGCACATGCTAGTTGTCAAAACTCCCAACAGTAGAAAAGTGTGTTGTGTGCATACTTCTCATCTCCTAAAGCGTCACACTGCATCCAGCCATCAGGCACCACAGTTGATGCAGGAGGGCGTGGGGGCACATTTCTTCCACGTACACAGAGATGTTTCACAGCTGGGGATTGCTTTGTGTGCCCCTTGCAACTTTCCCTTTTCATTTAACAACGTACCAGGACATTTCTTTCCTACTGGACGGACCTACCTCACTCATTTTAACTGCTCCGTCATAGCATTTCACTTAATGGGTGTACCATAGTTTATGTACCTATATCTCCAACAACGGGTATTCGGTTGTTTCCAGCTTCTCCTGATTACAAACAATGCTGCAATGTAGGTTCTCGTACATATTTCCGTGCAGTTCTGTAGATGTTCAATTGTCTGTTTGAGAAAAAGTACTAGAGGTGATGTTGCTAGGTCAAAAGGCATGTATGTTTAAAATTCTGGATATAGCTAAATTGCCACCAAGAAAGGCTAAGCAGTCCCATGGTATATTCTTCTCCCAGTGCAGTGAGAAAGTGCTGCTGGTCCATGGCCTCGCCAACACGGGGCATCCACAATCATTGTCATCTTTGTTCTAAATTTTACAGAGGTGAGTGGCTTGCATTTTTCTGTTTCCTTTAAACATGTGAATAGGTTATTAAAAGAAACAACTCATGGCCTTTGCTAAGGTATTTCTGGGCCTGTGGCTATAAACTATCCCCACTCACCCCAAGTTGACAGCCTCCCTATTTTCTGGTATGACAAGATATCTCAGGTTTGCCTTCCAATTTTCCTATCCCAACCCTGTAATCAACCAATTCTCCAAGGAGCCAGGATTCCTTTAGTGCGAAATGATATTTAGGGACCACAATTTGGTGCTGGGGTGCTCAATGCTACTAGGCTGATTTTTTTCCTCTAAGGAAAAAAAAAATTCCAGCTTAGAATTCTATATCCAGCCATGGTATTCTAGTGATGAGGACAAATGATATTTTTAGATATGCAAGAATTCTGAAAATCGGCCATCTTCTGACCACTCTTAGGAGGCGTGTCACAGAATGAAAGAGTCAACCAAGAAAGAGGAAGGTTTGGGATGCAGGAAATAGTGGAGCCAGTCCAGGAGAAGGAGCTGTCAGGGACAACAGCTATGCATCGGTCCAATTTGAGCATGAGGATGGACGGCTTCAGGAAGTAGGTCTCTGTGAAATGGGGGAGACCAGCAGAGTCAGAAATATGCCTGAGAAGTTGCACATGGAAGAGCACAGCTGTGGATGAAAATCAGGCCAGAAGGGAAGAAGGGTCCTCGGCTGGAAAAGCCAGCATGGAGCATCACAGGCCATGAAGTAAACTCTTCAG